TAGTTGCATTCTTGAAGGGAAGGCGTCTAGTAAAACTACGAGAGGATTTGGATGCATGAAATTTGTGTTGAAGATGCCTCCGAGGCAAAATTACTCATTCTAATCCATACTACAGCTCTGTCTCGTGGTCGTCGTGAAACATAGACACATTGAAGACATTGTAGGCATGTGGCCGGTCGCTTGGGAGGTCGAGGGACGCTATCTCGACGCACCACGCAACAGTCGCAGAAAGCCACGGTTATGCTAAAAAAGTTGGCCATTCGCATCCACATCGACTAGTTGGAGGATTGGTTATCAGTGACACTCAATTCCAGAAGGTACTTTTGACATTTGTGAAGATAAGACAGACACACATCTTATAGCAATCGCCTTCAACTGCCTCCTTTTTTCCCCTCCATGGCATGCAAGCCAACGCAGTTATAATGCATTGTAGAAGCCTGTGTTCCTTCTCAACACTCTTGTCACATCCCTTCACTTGCGTACTCACAAAGAGGGAGGACTCGTGCTCTACAATAATCGCACCTTCTCTGAAAGATTGGGTGTGTGCAACACCTCCACCGCCTAGCATGTGCAAATAACTGCAGTGTCTGTGAAAACTGCCTGCCGCGTTGCGACCAATGCAGCAGTTGGACGTTGGAGGTGGTCGCCAGACCATACATCGGGCCAGGTGCTCACTTGTTTCAATAGTAGTCAGAAGTCGAATTAGCTTGACCAATTTCACGACCACCTTATACCCTTCCTTTCACCCACCGTCCCCCTCGTCTACTCACACCTCATTGCATTGTCAGGATCACGGCCTCGTTAATGAGTTTAGCAGCTCCCATAGCCACAGTATTCAAGGCTCTTTATTGTCCACAATCCAGCGCATCATGAACGCATTGTGGAGTGATCACCACTTGGAGGACCACACGAATACAGTCCTACAAGAAGTCGTCCCTGAATGTTCACGAGGAAATGGAAATGGATTAATGCGTCCTCCTTCAACCACACCATTTCGAGTACTGCATTACCTTCTACCACTGAGTTGAATCTTCCCCTGGCAATTCCCATAGACGTTACAGACAGTCAAATTTTGTGAAGCGCAGGTTTAAGCCAGACTTTCTCACCAATCTCCATCCCCGGTGAGCCACTTCGTACCCCTAGCAAGCACTCTTTTAAGCGTGGTGTGGTAAGCATTGTGGAGCCCTGCATGTACTCTTCGTAATCATATCCAGTTGTTTTCCTACCTCACTTCTTCCTTCCCCTTTCTCTTCCTCCCTATCAGACCCACATCTGCATCATACAGGGCACAAAATGGACATTTTTTTGACACAAGTATTAACTTTTTAATACCTCAAGCAGATGAATTACTCAGGCGGAGTTTTATGTGTATTTCCGCACCATCAGGAGTGAATGGTGGAAGTCCTCCATGGCTGTGTCACCATCCAGCTCACAC